TCATAAGATAACTTGATGTGGTATTTCTCCTAATATCATCAGAATTTTACAGATCTTTATTTTTACATAACAGTTTAGAACATAGTTCATCAAGCTACAGCAAGTGTGTTAAAAACGACCCATTTCTTATTTTTATAAAGTTTTATTGGCACACAATCACACTCATCAGTTTTTGTGTTTATCTTTATCTGTTTTCAAGTTCCATTAGCAGAGGTGATTAGCGGGAACAGATACAATATAGCCTGCAAAGCCTAAAATATTTACTGTCTGGTCCTTTACGAAAATAGTTTGTTGACCCCTAATCTAGAAACTAATTCCTAATGGGGTCTTAAATTCTGTGACATTTCTTTCCTAAATTCTCTTTGGTAGATGTTTCATCTTGCTGATAAAATGACACATGTTCAATTGTTCAGTAAGACATGCACTTCATTTTTAATCCTTATGTATTGCTTATGTATGTATTTCAATGTTTACACTATTTCCATCATCTGAATATATTAGCCTTGCAAAGTAAGTACTATTTCTGAAACCCTTTCTATAAAACTGACATAAATTAGAGATGTGATGAGATTTATACTTTTCATTTCTTGATTTGATAGATGCTGTAAGCTAGGAGAAAATGGTTTGCTTTCTAGGCTGCTTTATTTAATGTGGTTCATTTAACATGGTCCCTGGGGCCTTTGAAATCAACACCCCTCCAATGGGCATTAATTTCAAAGTTAAATTGAGTTAAGAAAAGTACAATTATTTTGAAGTATAACTCTCTATGAATGTGTTTTGGAATTAGGTAATGGTGAGAAGGGAATAACTTGGAAATAACATTGAAAACCTATCATAGTTACGAGCTCAGACCTTGCTGAAATCAATTTTTGAGGAATATTTACAAAATCATGTAATTTCTATCTACTTATAAATATTGAATAAAGATTTGGCCAATATGTGAAAGCAACTTATATTTTTCTCTCATAATATTCTATAATACTAATTCCCAAATATGATGATAAAAGACTTTATATTATAAAACACATTGTTCATTAATACAGTACATTGAATTAATTCCTAAACATTATGATGATAAAGGAATTTATATTACACGACTTTTTCACATTAACATGGTACATAGGATTAATTCCTAAACATTTTCTAAATCCTGTCTATGAAGTGAAACCTTACTTATTCATTTTTCTGTGATTGTCAGACATTACTTAAGTGTTAAAAATCGCTACATTTACTGAATCTTTACTGTGTACCAGAAAGACACTCTACTTTTAATCTTTACATAACCTATCCCATTTCATTTTACATATGAGAAAACAGGCCTAGAGAGGAAAAAATAACATAAAGGTATGAAGTTCTAGTTAGACAGGAAGAATACATTTTTTGAGATCTATTGCACAGCTATGTTAATATATACTACACATATATTAACTCTAGTAACTATAGTTAATACTAGTATATTGTATATTTCAAAATGCTGAGAGAGTAAATTTCAAATATTCTCACTATAGAAAATGATTAGTATTTGAGGTGATGAATATGTTAATTAGCTTGATTTAATCATTCCATGTTATGTGTGTGTGTATATATATATATATCATAACATCACCTTGTACCCCATAAATATATATAATTATAATTCGTCAGTATACAAAAAAACACACATTTTTTTAAAAAGAAAAAAAAGGTAAATGACTTGCCTAAGACCACACACCTATTTTGTGCTCAAGCAAAAATTCTAACTTAAGCAACTGGGCTCCAGAACCTCACTTTTAACCTTGTTCTCCCCAAAGTCTTGTAAAATATACTCAAAAACAACTGCTTGCTCTCAGTATTGGGAGACTCTAAGAAAGGACCACTGACTGCTGGGTGAGAGGAGAAAGAGATGTTTCTCAGACGTTAAGTTTGAGTTTAATTGGGTTTACTAATTGGGTAATCCAGACAAATAGAATAGCATATTCAAAGGCAAAGTCATGTGAGAGCTTAGCACCTTTAGGGAAGGGTAAGCAATTTGCTCTTTGGGAGCAAAAGGAACATGAGAATTGGTTGTAGAAAGGCTGGAAGAGTGGACAAGGGACCTGATCACACCCTACTGGAATTCAGTGGTTTTCAAATTTCAGTGTGGTAAACATCCTCTGGGGTTGCTTGTCTATAGTAAAAATTGCCGGGCCCCAATTGCCAGAGAATTTTATTTAGTTAGACTCCCAAATTTGCATCTCAACAGGCATCCTAGGTGATTCCAATGTAGGAGAACCTCTTTGTGAATCACTGGAAAAAATGTGTAAACAATATGTGGAAGCATGACATGGTTCATGTCATTGTGTTTTTATAAAAAACAACACAGCAGTTCAGCAGAGACAGGAAGGTAGTCTGTCTCATACACATAGCCTTTGTTTTATAATTACCTTTGGATACTATTTAGATTACTGGATTATTTAAAAAATGTTGAAAATGTAGGGTTCAGTTCTATTCATTTTTTTAAGGCACTGTAAGCTATTAAAAAGTATGAGCTTTTCAATCCAAATCTTACTTGTTTGCCATTTCAGTCCTCCTCACCCTAAGCATTAGTAAACTATAGTTCAATTAATAGGGAATCAATTGTGAATGAATCATTTAATTGACACATATTCACAGTAGAACCTAATTTCACACAATATTACTAAGGAATTATTTGGTAAATCAAGCAAACTGCAATATTTCTGCACTTTTGCCTGGGATTAATGTAACAATTTAAAGAACTAATGATTCTAAGATAAAATTTCAGTTGATACACGAATTTAGGATTCAGTACTGTCTTGTTATATTATAAGGTAAAAGTGATTATATCCCACCAGCTTTGAATACACCTGGAATAGAGTAAGTAAACACTACCTGTATTTTAAAAATTATTTGTTCCTTTTAATTACTTGTGGTCAAGTGGCTCCACAAAAATATTTTTTGTAGAATGTTAATAAATTCTCCATCTCCTAAAAGAGATTGTTAGTACATTCTTCAATGTTTAAACAAACTTGAAAGGGAAAAAGAAGACAGAACAGTCATCTAAATCACCTAGAATTAAACATATGCCACACATCAGAATTTCATTGGGTAACCAGAAATTGTCTTGACCAACTTGGGATTCTCAAATTTAGGATGCCAAATAACACAGTGGTGTTTATTTCACACTTGAGCTTGTTCAACACAGATGGTAGGCATAAAATAACTGAGTGTCAATGGATCATGTCTGGAGAAAATGATGGATATGATCTTTTTTGTTGACAGTAGAGTTGTTTTCACATTCCACTTGAATTAAATTATGCTCATTCATGCCATGGTACATAATCTCTGGCAAGAATTCTTAGAAAAAGAATCCTATCATGTGGGCTCATTGAAAAACAAGTGAAAAAATGTTACCCAGTAACAACATAAGCACTATAAGAAAATGTTAAGACGAACTTTGAACAGCCTCCATTTATTTTGAAAATATATAAATACCTATTTAATGAATGTATGTTAATATGGATTCTTATATATTATGTTCACATGTAAATATACACTGAGATATTAAAATTTAGGAACAATGTAAATCCTTAATTTTAATAGACTGGCAAAAACATTTGGAATTTTTTTTATATAAAATATATCATGTGTCAGATATGATCAGTATAAGAAACTGACCCTAAATTTAAAATGCTCTCAGTCAAGTTTGGTAAATAAGACATACGCACATGAGATTTTATATAAAGGAGAAAAGTTAAATAATAAAGTAAGATCTGATTATAGCAGTTTATGAAGCTTTATTAGAATGTGCTCTGGATAGTAATTTCTGCGCCTTGAAGATGAATGGGCTGTATCAGAGTAGGTAGGGAAGACAGAAAAGTCAAGGAAGTCCAGTCAAGGAGGACAGTATAAGTGAACAAAGTCTTATTAACCTTGTGCTTGCTAATTTATAGCTTTAAGACATAACCCAACCACAGTGTTGTTGGCTATCCCCAAGAACACTCTCAGTGACTCACAGAACTCAGAAAGCTGTTATACTCAGGGTTGTCATTTATTACCAGAAAAGGAGATGGATTAAAATCCACGAGGTAAAAGGCACTTAGGGCAGAGTACAGGAGAGACCAGGCACAAGCTTCCAGTTGTCCTCTCCCAGTGGAACCATACAGACAACACTTAATTCCCTCAGCAACAATGCGTGACAACATGCAAGTATTGTTAACCAAGGAAGCTCACCCCAAGACTTGGTGTCCAGGGATTTTATTGAGAGTCAGTCCTATAGGGATGGAACTCCTTCATGACTAATGACTAATTTTATCTCTCAGTCTCCAGCTTCCCCAGAGGTCAGACTGAATACAGCGTAACCCAGGGCCCCAAGTGAATAAAATCAGACATTCATCATAAACCGTTTTGTCAGCATAAACTGTCTTGCAAAGTCGAAGACCCAGTGTGTGCACTCTGTCCGGGCTTGATATTCCAGGGGGTTAGTGGTTATCTCCTAGGAGCTGGTCAAAGGCCAATTTTTCTTTGGAATGCAAAGGGTTTGAAAATCCCAACACTGCTGAGTTAACACTTGACTGCACAATAGAGAGAAAGAGTCTGTGTGACTGTGGGTCTTAAGTAAAAATAAAGAAATAAATCACCTGAAATCTTGAAAAATGATACCTGCAAAAAGTTTGTATTTATTTGTTTTGATGATGAGAAAAAAAGAATGAGGAAAGAATAAAACCAACTTCATAGAATAGCAATTGGTCTTATTTTTGTTTGGGGATGTCAGCCTCAGCAGAGTAAAGTGTTGCCATGTGTGATCCTAACAGAGTGGCAGCCCAAGGAGTGAGTGATAGCTCAGCAGCACTGTAAATGTTTCACTGCTTTTCCAGATGCCCGTTCTCTTGAAGAAAGTTTATGTTGTATTGAACTGAAAGTTTGAGAATTAACTACTTATCAATCTTTTTCTTTTAATTTTTTGTCCCCCACCCTGCTCTCTATACTTCCTTTTCTGAACTGCAATGTGGTCTTCTTTGAAGATGTTCCAGTGGCTTTGATCGCCATCGGCAGGACTGGGTGGACAGTGGATGCCCTGAAGAGGTACACAGTGCTTTATTGTGACAAAATTCCTGGGACCAAGCTGTCATAGATATTTGCCACAACTTAATGAAAGTGGTATCTAATTTAACCAAAATAAGCAGCAGTTATTGAACCCCTAATACGTGCAAGACATTGGGTTTATCTATACATATCATTTCATTTTATTCTCATGTCCCTCCAGTGAGGCAGGCACTGTCCTTACCCTCATATAGGAAGGAATTTGGGAAGTGATAGGTCAGACAAAGGGCTTAAAGAAATATCATGATTTGTAAGAATGAATATGCTAATAATAAATAAAAATTTAAAAGAAAAAGAAAAAAAAGAAGAGGGAGAGTTAGAATGTGGGTGCTCAGAGAGTTAGGTACATGGCGAGGGAATGAGAAAACCACAACTGGAGTCTGTTATAAAGCAAAGGGTAGTTTTTGTAAATACTTGCTGCTTTTCTATGACCTAGAAAGCCATTGTTCCTCTTTATAGCTCAAATAACAAGACCAGTGGTATGGGGGGAAAGACCGATTACAGCAAATTGGTATGCTGTATAAATGAGAAATGGTATAACTAAGCTAACATAGAGAAATGCTAAAATATTAACACCAAAACAAACATGATAGGGACAAAGATGTAACGAAGTGATCCAAGCAATTGTATATACATTGCAGAAGCAATTTTAACCTGTTTGAAAGTTATCTATTGAATTGCATGTACACTCATTTCAGGTTTGCATGAAGATATCCTACAAGGTTCATAAACAAAAGTATTTCTTCTTGCTTCATTACATTTAGGGCATGGATTTTAAATAAAAATCATTAACAATTACACGAGTTTTCTCGTTCAGTAGAACAAATCACGCCAAAGTGCTATATTTAAAACTATTAGGAAATTAATAGTTACTAGAGGCTTTTTTAAAGTTCTTTGGAGGGGGTTGGATGTTTCATAAATGTCTTGAGAAATACATCTTTAAAAACATTCTTGAACTTTAACAGTAGCACTGCCAAGGCAGCTTTAATCCACTTTGTGACATTCATTTGGGGAATTACAGTGATATATACTAATCCATCTATCTTAGTTCACTTATCTAACAACAAAGTTCAAAAAGAAAATGTAGGGCCGGCCTGGTGGCGCACTCGGTAGAATGCGGTGCTTGGGAGCGCGGCGGCCCTCCCGTCGAGGGTTCGGATCCCATATAGAGACCAGTCTGCCTACTGGTTGAGTGCAGTGCGGACGCGACACCGAGGGTTGCAATCCCGTTGCCGGTCGCGGTGCGGGCACGACGTTGTGATCCCGTTACCGGTCACAAAAAAAAAAAGAAAAAAGAAAATGTATTGACAGAGCCATAGTTATATTTTCATATCACTGTTTCTTCCATATAATCACTGTTACCTAAATAAAAAAATGCTGAAATTGAATACCTATATTTGTGTAAAGATTGAGGCTGTAATTCAGACATTTTAATTTTCTTGCTTCACTTGGGCTCACGATGAACCACAGGTGATAGAGAAAAATCCTTCATATACTACACCCTCCTAAGTATATCTGTGGACAATTCACCATGTTCTACAGAACATGTGCTATTAGAAATATAAAGGTAAATGGAAAATGACCCCCTCCTCCCAAGGAGCTCATCTCGTTTAGTCTTTTATTTAATCTATCCATTAAGGTAGTAATTTCAGCAAATACACATTTATTTCTAAAATCTAAATTTGGCACTTTGTTAGATCTGCCAAATCATTTTTATAGTCTTATGTTACCAGTTTATTTTTAAATTTTACCACTCATCTCTTTAAACATTCCTTATATAATTTTTATATATTTCATATTGGAGGATCCCAATATCTAAAGTCTTGGTCATATAAATATGTTCTTCATTGTTCATTGTTTTTGCTGACTCTGTTAAACTGCTCCTTTTTCTTTTTGTTTAACTTACGTATTATTTTTAATAATTTATTCCTCGTGTTGATTTGAAAGCCTTTTGAGCTTTATATACCTCAACTTTTTTGATGTAATTTCTAAAAATGTAGGTGTGATCAGTTAATTGGTTTTCCTTTTTGTTTCCCTTACTAGTCCAAAGAGAAGATGTGTGAGAACACAGAACCAGTGGAAGCTTCTTCTCAAACCACTACAGCCATACGCACAACAACCACACAGTTCAGGGTCTTAACCACCACCAGAAGGGCAGCCACAGCGCAGCTGCCCACCAGCCTGCCCACAGAAGGTGCCCAAGAGATACTGTGCTTTATTCCTGAAGGAGGGAAAGATCTCTGTGTTGAATGCACTAGAGTAGCTGCTATCCTATAGAGGGAAAGTTAATTCTTTGGCAAACTGGATTTCTAAGGGATTTCTAAAGGAGAAAAAGACAAAATTATTATGGACTAAAAAATATGCACTGGGATTCTTTTATGTCCTGTGCCTTTCCTTAAGACTTAGCATTTGCCAGTGATTCTGCCTTCTTGTCCTTACTAGAAAATCAACATAGACTTCTTTTCATGTGGCTAAATTTTGTAGCAACCAAATTTAACATTGCAGTCATGGGATAAACAGGCAGAATGTCCATTGATATTGTATTGTAAACAATAGATAATTCTACTCAAATACAATTCTAACATTTTCCTGAATACAGCCAATAAAATATGTCAGTCTATAACCTATACAGGAGTTATACGTATAACAAGGACAAGAAATTGTCCTTGAAAAATATTTTCTCTTCTAGGGAAGGCAACACTGATAATGCAGGTGCACAACTCATGGGGGGGAAGATAGAATCATTTACTAACATTTGATAACTTTCTATTTTGAATGGTACCCCTAGGAAGTAATATGGGACTAATAGGCAGAAATATGAGACTAATTGGCCAAGAGTAAGCTTTGAGGGGGAAAAAATGGTTTACTTGTTTATTGTTATATGCATTGTTTTCATTTGAATAGAAAGTTAAATTAAACTTGAAACTTTTGATGGCAATTTAACTTGATATTATAAGGTAACTGGAATAAAGTGAAGTAGAGCGCAGATGCTAAATGCATGTTTTTTTTTACTTTTAAAAGCAATTTACATTTTAATTCATATTATTTTGGATCGTTATGTTAAAGCCTATGAAAATATTTTTGTAATTTAAACCCTATCCTTTAGAATGAAATATAACCCCTGAGATAAAAGAAAGCACATCTTCCCTTTTGTTCATTCAGGACAGGTTTTTTTCAAATATGATTTTGGTCATATTTGTTAGTGGTGAAAAAGCATTTCACCTTTGAAGTTCAATTTGTAAATATTGACAAATCTTCACTATTCCAATTATTCAGGAATTTTCTCAATCTTTAAAAAAGAATAAATAAGGTCATAACTATAGAGTCTAATTACACTGTTATTTTTAAGACATTTATTTTAATAAATGTCTTTTAAGTTGTAATTAGAACTGTTTAATTTTTTCACAAACTTAAGAGTTATGTAATACTTTACTAAAGTCTTGATTGTACAATCTCTGTAAGAAGTGTTAGCACTACATCATGTAAAGCTAGGAAATACTCTCGCTGCACTAGAAATTATCTTAATAAATTATCAAAATCTAGTCATGTTACAATTAAGACAGTTAGCAGACAATTACTAGTCATGAGATTTATGCACCTTTAAAATCTTTTGCTGTTATAATAACTTTGAATTTCTTTTCCAGATGATACCAAGATAGCACTACATCTAAAAGACAATGGAGGTAGGAATTGATACTTTTCTTTTATAAACAAACATTGTTAAATGCTAATTCATTTCATTAATTTTAATATGAGAAAGGACTTATGGGCTTCTAAGTCTAGAGTGAGGATATATTTCATTCCCTGTTGGCATTTAACTTGTGAAGAATTCAGTAAATAGCTTCGAAAAGTGAAATAAAATCCTAATTCTTGCATTTATTTGTGCATAAAACTATGTGACGCCAATTACTAGTTATAAAGCAGAGAATGTATCCACACATCTTGCTATTATTCTCTGTTGCTCTAGTTGTTGTTGTTTTAGTTGTTTGCATAGTTGTTACACAGCTACAGATATTGGGTTCAATTGTTTTTCACTAACTTGACTTTTTCATTAACACCTTTTATACATAAAATTGAGAAACAAAGCAGTAGGTGTGGAAGTATATTGTGTTAGGTCTTTCTATCTGTTCTAGGAAGCAAATGACAAAAATTAAATATTCAAAAGAACATCTTGTTAGTAACATACTTAAAGTTTTTCTAAAACAATATAGAAATATCTATAACAGTACATGAAAATTTGAGGAAAAAAAGTTCTACTGAAATACTACTGTGTAAGATATTGGCCATATCTTAAAAACCAGTTCTTTCCCTTTTAAACTATGTTAGCTCATGTGTGCTTCTCCCCAGAGCGTGCTGGATCTTGATAAAAGAGATTTGCATTAGTAATTGTTTATTCAGCTTAGGAAAGGGGTCTCCACTTCCTGGCAGCATCTGTTATGTAAATGTAGGCAGATTGTGACGTTGATCTAGTCATGGTTTTACTTTTGCAGCCCTAGATGACTTCTTCAGTAAGTCAAATTGAATATATACATTGTTAGGAAAGTTTTTCTCTATAATTTATGAGAGTAGTTCTTAAATTACTCAGCCAAGGTTAAGTAACCAATACTTACATGCTTTCTTAGGTCACTGTTTATATATGTGTATCTTTAAATTTCATGTCAGTCCATCTGTCAATTGTGCATTATCCTGCATTTCTATTCTAGTGTGTTATTTCATTCATTTCTTGTTAATTATTGTATTAATGCAGTAAGTGGATAGTTTTACAGATGATCATTTGCAACATATATACTAGCTAGAAATAAATTAAAATCTTAGCACTCGAAGGGACATCACCAATCCCGCAATTCAGGATTTCCCAGAGCAGGATGTTATAGTATCATGTGAACATAAATCTTAAAGTTCGGGTTACCTCATTTTGAGAGAGGAGATGGGGTATTAGGTGAATGTTATGGAAGAGGGGTACTCAGTAGGCTTCTGTTGTATTCATTATATTTAATTCTTAATATGGGTGGTAGTTACATGTGTATTTGTTATATTTTCTCAATGTTTTCTTTTCTTTTTTTCCTGTATGCCTAAAATATTCTATAGTGATAACAGAATAAATAAATAAACAAACAAACAAACAAGTAAGTAAGTAAGTAAGTAAAGTAAGGGTTCCTGTGGTCAAAAAGGTGGGAGATACTCCAGGTGAAAGAAAATTTAAAAAATGTACTTGCTGGAGAACACTTCAGAGCCTTTAATGTTCACTTCTTCCTGCTGAATACTTGCTAATTGCAAAGGCTTGCTGCAGCCTTGGGGCTATAGCAATGAACAAGTCTTCAGCAAATGTCCTGCTTCCAGAGAACATTTATTTTAGTGAATCTTCCAGGTGGTTATAAAGGTTTCATATTGGCATTTCTCCACTATTTGGTCTTATTTTTTACAAGCAGCATCTCGTGGACTTAATGTTTTGTGAAATACACTTTGGTTTTTAGGATGTTACCAATTATCCCAAAGAAAATCCTTAGCTTTGTTTAAAGCATCAAAGAATCATAAAACTGAAGATTTTCTTTAAAAAGTGCATTAGAACTGCCTTATGATGCTAAGAAATCAAGTTAAATAAACCCCAAGATTTAAATATGGGAGTTTTTCATAGACTACAGAGTCAACTGTTGGATTTTCAGATGATATTTAGATAATTGATATGCAGCAGATATCCATCAGAATTCCAAAATGTCACAACAAGACTTCAAACTCTTTTCATGTCTGTGGTTCTTTATAAAGCCCTTTTCCTAAAAGTATTCAAATGCAGTTTGAACAGACCAACTTGACCAGTGTTAGGATAAATATTTCTTCAAAAGAGTACTTAAGGGAAGTCACACATTACTTTTTATAGCATCCTTATTAAGATAGTATGCTATCATTGCTTTTTATTTTATGGAATGTGGAGATTCAGGAAGGATTGCCCATTTAAATCTAACTTAATAATTAATTAAGCATGTTGAAAACAGAATTCAGAATTGCTTTTCCCCTCTAGTTTAACATTTTGCAAGACTGAGATAGTAATGAATTAGAAAGCCTACTTTAAATGTTTTCAAAATTTATTGAGATTGATTTTTTTAAAACATGCTAATAAATTTTTGTAAATTGCTATGTATTGTTGCAAAGAAATTTAGCACATTTTATTTCGTTATTTAATTGGCTGTTCTTTTTACTTTAAATAAATTTTATTGTATGTATTTGAGGTTTACAACATGATGTAATGGATACATATAGATAGTGAAATGGTTACAGCAGTGATGCAGATTAACATATCCAGCATTTCACATAGTTACTTTATTGTGTAACTAATTGGCTGTTCTTGAAGTCATTTTAATTTAAACATCTGTACTTTTCTGGAAAAGAGGATGACATTTTTCAAAGTAGTCAATATGTAGCTAGAAACCAATAACTGACTTTCCATACAGTGTCTCCTTTACATATTGGATTACCTCAGGTCGGAGTCTTTTGGGAACATATCTCTGTGCTAAAATAGTTGATTTTCTTAGTGGAATCCACAGCTGACATGATTATACATTCACTTTCTAAGAGATTTTCCTTCACCTTTGATATGAAAGCATAAAATACTTCTGAGCAGCTGGACACCAAAGTCACGCAACAGGGTTTCTCATTCAGAGGACCCAGACTGAGCTACAATCTGCTAAATCACTCCTGATGAATCTTCAATTGAGCATAGTTTCCTGATACATTTAGATTAGGTGTAGGTAGAGGGCCTCTTGGAGTTTCAGCCTACTTGACTGAAAGTTTTATAAACCTTTCGGCTTGAGTGTAAGTTCTAAGCTTTCTAAATTTAGAGAAAAGAGCAAGAAAAAAATCTAAACAAAGGGAATATGTAATGAGTGCAGCTCCCTTGATAAGATATAGCCTTGTTTGACCATTGTCAATGGCTGAATGCAAAAACTCAAAAGAGCCAATTCAAAGACAGCAATTTATCTCCAACTGAAATATTGCTGGTTGCATGTTTATGATATTAAGTTTAATCAAATAGCATGCCTGTTACTTGTTTATGTGAAAAACAGAAGAGAAGCAGAAGAGGAGCAACAGGAGGAAGAGTAGGAGGAAGTAGAAGATGAGGGAGAAGGAAGAATATCTATTGAATGTTTACTGTGTTCCAGGCATCATTCTAAATGCTGTGCATACATTAACTCATTTAACTCACACAACACCCCTGAGTTGATCCTATTATTAGTTCCGTTTTATAGAAATGGTAACAGAGGTACAAAAAGGCTGGGTTCCCTAGCTAGCATGTGTCATAGCTGGGATGTGAATCTGTTTAGCCTTGATGCAGATTCCAAGTCCTTGACAACCTCACAGTATTGCCTCTCCTTGCACTATAGGTCTCTTACAATCAAACCTCACAAGGGAAATACCACAATAAGCTATTTTACTTAAACCTACGATATTATTTTTCCCTTTATTTAACAACTGATTATACTTCCAGGTGTTTGTAATGAAATTTTCTGTTCTCATGTAATTATGCATTAGTTTCCATTTTATCCTTTTTTATGAAAATCATAATGCAGAATTCTCCTGTGTAATTGAGTGATTTCAGAATCATTGGCATGTGGTCTCCAAACTATAGGGCTATCCTGTAGTTTTGTTGAAAATCTAATTTCACATTCTTTTAGCCTTCTTGGTTTCTCTAAAAATTCAGGTTTAATTCACCTGTAAGGGGTACCTACCCTGTTTTCTTTAAATAAATACATTTCTGTGGATAATGGTTATATTCATTTAAAACCACATCTTCTTTGGGTTTTCAAATCATAGCAATAGCTTATTAAACAAGTTTCATTTTTAAGGAATGACCTAGCTATGTATTTTAGCAGGTACAACTATCAAATGCCTTCTTTGATGTTTGATTAGGTTTGCTCCCAAATGGCACTCACAATCTAATTAGAAATGTAAATGTCTTCAAGATGCAAACTGGATAAAGTTATATCCAGGGCTGAAAAAGGCTTGCAGTTTGAATCAATGGCAACCATTTTTAATTAAGAAAATAAAGTCTTCAACCAGATTCAACTCAATTTAGCAAATTGAATTGTGTTACTCTGCTACACTGGAGATATTAAAATTATTTCAAGCTCTAACATCCTGATTTGATTTTATTATTCAAAATTTGTTGACTGATATTTACCAAAGCACCAAAATCTGCATTTTCTCTTGGTTTCTTTAAAGGGTATTCCCTTTGATAGAGTTGTTTCTTTCTAAAACTACTTGAACATAATAAGTCCTTAATTGTTTATAATATTTAAAGTATCAGCACTCCAGACAAACATGATATGTAATGCAGTTGGTTCTGTGTTCATCATTTCTTCTTATTGTTAGGAATTTTACCAGACCCAGACTCTGAAAGGCTGCATTCTTGAATCAGTGGTTGGTGTCTTCATCAAGGAGGTGCTCAAATCGCTGCATTAAGCAGTTTGCAGAATATGATTAAATTAATTCAGAGGTACAAATCTGCAAAGTGGTTGCTTTCAAAGAGCTAATACAGATATATTTTGAATGAACTGCTATGGAATGGCTGTTCTATATGCTAATTCTGTTGTGTTCAGTTTCCTATTTCTGAACTTATCATAAGACTTTTCATCCAAAAATAAAATGTTAGAATATTAGTCTGATATTTTCCCTGGAATATTTCTAAGGT